ATAAGACACAGGGGGTTATTCCATTTTTTTGTATCTGTTGAGATTTGCTATGTTTCCAAGTATATGGTCAATTTTAGAGAAGGTTCTATGTGGCCCTGAAAAGAAGGTGTATTCTTTTGTGTTTGGATGGAATGCTCTATACCAGTTGGGTCTGTTCAACCCAATTGGGTCATAACTTCTGTTAGATCTTTTACTTCTTTATTAAGTACCTGTCTGGTGGCCCTGTCTATTGGTGAGAGTGGGGTGTTGAAATTACCACTGTAAGTGTGTGAGGTTTTATGTGTGATTTGAGTTTTATTAATGTTTGTCTTACAAATGTGGATGCCTTTGTATTTGGAGCATAGATATTCAAATTTGAGACTTCATCCTGATTTTTTTTTCTGTGATGTTTATGAAATGACCTTCTTCATCTCTTTTGATTTATTTTACTGTCATGTCTAATTTGTTAGATATTAGGATAGCTACACCAGCTTGTTTCTTTTGTCCATTTGATTGGAAAATCTTATCTCGACCCTTTACTCTGAGGTAATATCTGCCTTTGAAATTGAGGCCTGTTTCTTGTATGCAGAAGAAGGATGGATTCTGTCTTTGTATCCATTCTGTTAGTCTGTGTCTTTTTATAGGTGAGTTAAGACAACTATTTTTTAGGGAAATTAAGGACCATTGATTGTTAATTCTTGTTTACTTTTTGATTTTATGTTGTTGGTGGTATTGTGTGTGGATTTACCCACTTTTTCTTTTGCGTTTTGGTAAAGTGGTTTTATCTGTTACCTATATTTAGAAAAAGGGTTGTTAACTTCCTTAGGTTGGACGTTTCCTTCCAGTACTTTCTGTAGGGCTGGATTAGTGAATATGTATTGTTCAAATCTGGTTTTGTCAAGGAACATCTTGTTTTCTCTATCTATAGTGACTTAAAGCTTTGCTGGGTATAGTAGTCTGAGCTGGTATCCATGGTCTCTTTGTGTTTGTAGAATGTCTATCCAGGACCTTCTGGCTTTCAGAGTTTCTACGGAGAAGTCAGATGTAATTCTGATAGATTTGTCTTTATATGTTACTTGATCTTTTTCCTTTGCAGCTCTCATATTCTTTCTTTATTTGCATATTTGATGTTTTGATTATTATTATGTGGCGAGGGGACTTATTTTTGTGGTCCCCTCTATTTGGTGGTCGGTAAGCTTCTTGCACTTTCATTGTCATCTCTTTCTTTAGGCTAGGAAAGTTTTCTTCTATTATTTTGTTTAATATGTTTTCTTGAAATTTGAGTTGGGTTTCTTCCCCTTGTTTCATGCCTATTATTCTTAGGTTTGAGCTTTTCACAGTGTCCCATATTTCCTGGACATATTATGCTAGGAATTTGTTAGACTTAAGAATTTCTTTGGTTGATGAATCTATTTCTCCTAGTGTATCTTCAATGCTTTAGATTCTCTCTTCCATCTTTTGTATTATGTTGGTTATGCTTGCATCTGTAGTTCCTGATCATTTACCTTGCTTTTCTAAATCCAGCATTCTCTCAGACTGTTTTGTATTTGTTTTGTTTTGTTTTGTTTTTGTCTCTATTTCAGCTTTCAAACCTTGCACTGTTTGAATTGTTTCTTGCAATTTTTGGTTTGTCTTCTCCTCCATTTCTTGAAATATTTTGTTTGTTTTATTCTTCCATTTCTTTAAATGATTTTCTCCTTCTCTCATTAGGCTCTTTATCATCTTCATAAAGTTGTTTTTTAGGTCCTGCAAAGAGGTTGGCAGTTCTTAGACATTCCCTCTCCTGGTTGATGGAGACAGGACTAGCTACCTCAATGTCAGCAGACTCTGGATGGCTTGATCCACCTGGTGGTAGTCAACCTGCCCTCAGTCAGTTCCCAGTCCAGGAGATCCAAAGGAAAGCAAGAGGTCAGACCTGAGACAGGGGCACATGCTCACCTTTCCCCTGAGTGGTGGCAGGGCTAGCACAGGGATGTCAGTAGAGTCTGTCTTGCTTGATTTGCCAGGGGGAGTTGACCTGCCTGTAGTCTCCAGGCCAGGAAGTTCCAAAGAGAGCAAGAAGAAGTCCTGGTTTACTTTTCCTGTTGGCTTCATTTACTTAATTTCTAGATGACCAAAAACAATTTATTTCCTATATAGCCATTTGTTTCTTCTACCTTCCTCACAAACACATCACCTAATTCTGTATGAATAAAGTCTACAAAAAGAAGTTCAAAACATCTAAAGGCACTCCCTTTCATGTTGCATGGAAATGGATTGAGTTAAGAGTATACGCTCTCTTTGTCTATCACTCTCTCTCTCTTCTCCCCCATCCCCTTTCCCTCTGTCTCTGCCCTTATCTTTGTCTCTCCCTGATATATTTATATTTCCTTATCATCTAATAAAAGAGAAAAATTTTATCAGTTCTCAGTAACTCTGGGTGGAATTTCAAAGGGCTAGTAGGGTTTAATCTTCTCACCAAAACAGAAACTTACATTGTTTTTCATGATACAAATACTTGAATAATGATACAGGGGGACACTGCTTGGTCATGTCTCAACTTGATATGCCAGAGTTTGTTGACTCCCCAAAGAAGGCCTTACCCTTCTTCAGAGTGGATGGGTGGAAGGTAGGGGAAATGGGTGAATGCGAGGGAGGAAAAACTGTGTTTGGTATATAAAATGAAAACTAAATTCTTAAATAAAACAAAAAACTCCAAAACTTGAATAAAATGGTTTCTTTTTTTAAGTCACTATGTTAGCTACTTTCTTCTTGTTGTGGTAAAATACCATGACTAAAAGAAAATTATAAGAGACAATTTATTCTGGCTTATGTTTCCACATGGCTAGAGTACATAACGAAGAGGACAGAATGGCAACAGGCAATTGGAGCAAGAAGTGGCTTGATTGCTCTTATGTCACCACACCTAGAAATAATAATAAATGGGAAAGGGGGGTGGAGCTATAATCTCTCAAAACCTACTTCCTTCAAACTTCCTGTTCTAAAGTTCTATAGCATCCATGAATATCATCATCAGCTGGGGGCCTGTTTACAGTGGGAGAAAGTAAGTACAAATACATGATCTACTGAGGGACATTTGTCTGTTGGGGCCTAGCCCCCACAGGGTCTCTGAGTTGTTTGTCAGCTGATAGCCACAGGTGCATCCTGTTTTCTAGCCCTGGCTTACTGCCCCCGCATTGCCCCACTGACATCAACATCTATCACAAGGAAAATACCTCTCTTCCACCTGGGGGTTTTCCACTGTGCTGTAAGCCTATATTTAAGACTGCTCCCTCCTACAAGAGAGAGACCTCTTAGCACTTGCAATAAAGATACACACACACACACATTCTCCTGGCAATAAAGATACACACACACATTCTCCTGGCAATAAAGGGAGCACATGCATTCTCTTAGTACAAGCAGCTGGACGTCTTGTCTTTCTTTCTCAGATACTCTGGAGTTGCTTGTGGTGCTGTTGGCGTGTTTGTCATTCAAACCACCACTCACTACTTCCCTGGCTCCCACAGACTAATGCATTTATTTCAGTTTTAGAATCCCTGTAGTCTTTAACAGTCTCAACACAAAAATGTAGAGTCGGAAGTCTTTTTTGAGACTCAAGGCAATTTCTTTACTATGACCCCTGTAAAGTAAAAAGGTAAATTGTATACCTCTAATATACATTGTCACAGAATATACATTCTCATTTCAAAAGGATCAAGGATAGTGAGGAAATGGTGGGCAAAACAAGGTAGAAAATGCCAGGTGGGTAAGTGGAAATCCTTTATCTCGATGTCTAGTGTCTGAGGATTGAGTTTTGAAAGTCTTAGATGACTCCTTCCCTCTAGTTTTTCTGATTCCAAAACATTAATTTCTCTTGGGCCAATTACATTCGTGTCTAGGCAAGAGAGTATCCCTCTATCTGGAATGGGCTCCCAAAGCTCATTCATTAACCATGGTAAACATTTATCTATGCGAAATTCTTAAGAAAACTTACTCTTCCTCCCCCAGCAGCTATCAATTACCACAATAGGGCTGCCTTAGGGCCTGCCATCCTGATTATTCACAGCTTCTTGGCCCTATGTTGATGATAGGTATGGGTTTCTTATTTTTGGGAGTGGGACTTAAATCCAATCATAGACTGGTTGGTTACTCCCATGTTTAAAAGAACATCAAACCATAAGGTCTAGAGTAATATAACAATTTAAGAAAGAAAGAAGACTTTATGTAGAGTTTTGTGCATTTTTTTTATTTTTCAGTATAAATAGAGAAAATATAGACCAGAAGCTTATAAGACTGCTTTAGAAAAAATATCTAATTCTACTTCAAGAATTTACACATTACCCATGATTTATTACATCCAGGGCAAGGACTGTACAGAAAATATTGAGGTTATACTAGACATACTTAGGAACAAACAAACTTTCCAGACTGAGTTTGTGCTTACTCAAAGAGCAATCATTAAAACTTATAAATTTTAGAAAATATGCTAAAGTAATTGATACAAAATATTAATGATTTCATATTTATAAAATAATATGTTCTAAAAACTACTAGTTACATTTACATGGTATAGTTTTAATGTATTAGTTGTATTTGTTTTATGGCTTCAGCGTGTTACTGTTTTTGGAAGCAAAACATTAAAATGTTCAAAGGCAAAAAAGAAATGACAGAAGGGAAGGAGAAAGAAAAGGAACAATTGATGAATAATAACCCAGTTTTTGTCTGGAATTTAAAAAATTTTGGAACAATGGAAACCTCATACAATGTTGTTCAATTTACTACATACTGTTAGTGAAAATATGCTCTGAAACATTTAAACATCTGATTGTGATGTATTAATTTACTGAAGCAATACTATTGGAAAATCACATGGAGGTAACAAGAGCAAATATGACAATTTTCAAATTAATGTTGACTTATATAAGTTATAGAATTCAGATGAATTAATAACAAATTATTTTCAAATTACACCAGTATATTGCTTAATAGATAGTTTACTGATTTAAAGACAAATACTTAATGATTTTAATGAACTATAGTTAATCAGCTGTAGAAGTTGAAGATTTTTTAAAAGTACTATAAGTACTTAGAAATTTCTTTGCAGCATTTAAAACTTCCTTATTTCTAAGGCTGTAAATAAAAGGGTTTAACAAAGGAATTATAACTGTATAAAATACAGCCACTGGAATGTCTTTATTCCCTTCTTCAAATGGTCGAATATACATGAGAAGGCAGATGTAGAATATTGACACAGAAAGAAAGTGGGACGCACACGTAGAAAATGCTTTCCCTCTCCCGTCCTTGGATTTCATCTTGAAAATAGTGAAAAGAATGCAGAAATAAGAGACCAAGACAGTGGTAATAGTAAAGACTTGAATTGGCATTGAAAAAACATATATCATTAGTTCGTTAATAAAAGGGTCTGTACAGGACAGCCTATAGAGTGGAAGAATGTCACAGAAGAAGTGATCAATGCGGTTTGATTTACAGAAAGTTAACCTTAGGAGACAGCCTACATGTATCATAGAATGCAAGTTGCTAGCTATGAAGGTGGCTATACTCATCTGAATGGAGAGCTTCTTGGACATCGTGGTGTGGTACTGCAGTGGGCTGCATATTGCCACATAGCGGTCATAGGCCATTGCTGCCAGAAGGAAGCAGTCTGCAGTTTCAGCAAGACAGAGAAAATAGAACTGTGCCATGCATTCATAGAGAGAAATCCTTCTGTCCACGGAAAAGAAGTTCTGCAGCATCTTGGGAGTGATGGCACAGGAGCAGCAGGAATCCATGAGAGCCAGGTTGCCCAGAAAGATGTACATGGGTGTGTGAAGACGGGGTTCCATGTAGATCAAGACCACAAGTCCGATATTCCCCACCATGGTGACCAGATAGATGGCAGAGAACACCAGAAACAGGAGGGTCTTCAGGTCTGGGTAATCTGAGAATCCCACAAGGATGAACTCTATTGTCAAAGAGTCATTTATCTTCTCCATTCTCATTTCTCTACTGAGACGAAAATTATTAAGAAGTTTGATATCATAGGCAAAATATGCCTAAGTCTCCCTCTCTAGTTACATTGACCAGGTGAGGATCCCTTCAATTTATTTTAGCTGTTCCCTGAAATATATCATGGTAGGTTAAGTTATATGAGAAGAAATCACACTTAGATTGTACATATGAGGGCATATACACAGATTGTGCATATACGTTTGAGTATAGTCTTGAAATTTCTGTTTAACTCCTAAATGACTCACACAGATTATTATATGTCTCTGTATAACTTCATGGTCAGTGTACATGATTTTCTATTTTCCCATATTGAAAGAATCTCTGTGAATATTTTTGAAAGTAAATTCTATAGAGACAATGTGATCTTTAAAATTAAATTTCCCTGTAATTATTTAATTAAAACTTCATAGAAATAGACTTTGAAAACCATTTTTCCATTTTTAGTAATTTTTTCCAGATAGGATTATTGGGGACAGTTTAAATGAAGGCTCAGTTAACTTTTAATTTTGGATAAGATTGTGTAATATTATATTGTCTCTTAAAATTATTTCTGTATTGATTTTAACATATTTGGTATCCCACTCTATCCTGTTTGATAAATTTCCAAACAATTATTTCTACTCTTTTTTTTTTTTGGTTTTTACGAGACAGGGTTTCTCTGTATTGTTTTGGAGGCTGTCGGTCCAGCGTGGCCTCGAACTCACAGAGATCCGCCTGCCTCTGCCTCCCGAGTGCTGGGATTAAAGGCGTGCACCACCATCACCCGGCTATTTCTACTCTTAATTGTCCCTATATCCTAATATTTTCCATGTAGTTTAGAGTGTTCAACATGTATTCTTTATTATGTATCTTAGTGACAAGGTATCTGCTCACAGAATACACACTCACATGTAAATGTCAAATATTGGTGCTATCTCACCAATATTGTCAGGATGAAGCAATGTTTTCCATTTATTGAGTTCAATATAGACTTTATATTTATGTGACTACTTAGTATTATATGATTATTTTATAATAATTTAATATCATTTAATTATTGCCCTCCTAGTCCACATGTCAGATTTCAACAACCACCCTAATTTGCTGGATTTTAGTTTGCCAAGTATATTAATGAAATGTTAAAATCCTGAAAAATACCCATTTTTTTACTGTTATAATCATTTTGTTCTGATAGAAAATTATTACAATTTCCTGGCTTTAATTGAGGTTAAAAGGATAATTTTTAAAGAACAGATTACAATAGTTATTTTGATAGCATTGTTTTAAGACCAAACAGTAATTACCATTTTGTTGATTTCAATTATTGTCAAGATTGAATTTAATACCATGTTTCCTTTTTCACTTTCATAACATGGAAAAGTTTTCTGGTGTCTTATTACTTATGGTTTATGAATAAATGAGAAAAATAAATTGCTGTTTATAATTTAGATATATAACACTATAATATCTCTCAAATTTTGCTATGTAAAAATGCTTTAGCCCTATGAAATATTGCTTTTACCAACATAAACCAGCAAATCAAATAGGTATATTCATATAAGTGTAGACAATGAAAATATATTTTAAAACATTGTATCATAACATACTATGTCAAAACTCATGTTTTCTCTATAGTCCCAAACAAAATTATTGAAGCAAATCTGAAACAATTTTCCTACCCATCCTAGAACTATTTTTCAGAGTTTCAGAGAGCTTCCCTGAATATTTATTGAGAGAATTGTGGTGCTTTTGCATTCAGAATGGACAGAATAACTCACCTATGTCTTCATTCTATCTTTTCAGTATATCTTCATTCAGAGACAAACCATAAGTGAATAAAATGTAAAATAATTGCTGAAATATTTTAGATTTGTATCTCCATATTAGAAATGAATTTGAAAGCCATCCACATACTGTGAGCACACTACCCACCATTATATATAGCCGAATAGAGTCACCTGATACTTACAGAGGTCTTATAGCATTGGGGAATAATTTACGCAAACCTAGGACACTCTCTCTATTCATAGGTCAGTGACAATTCTAAAGGGAGTTCCTTGGCTTTGACATTAGGTATTTCTGAAGAGACTCTAGTTCCCAAAACATCATTAAATCAAACACCTTAATTAAACTTAACAGAAATGAGAATTCGAAGTTAAATCTAGTAGCCATTAATAAAGGTGGCTTTAACATTATCTTTATTGTTCACATATTTGATTACCTGTGCCTCATTGGTCTTACTTACATAGAAATGATAATGCTAAGAAAAATAATATGGATCGTTTGACAACAACTTTGAAAAGAAAATTGAGGAGAGAGAGGGAGCTGGGATTGACATGTAAAACAAGGTTGTTTCTAACCTAAATAAAATTTTTTTTGAGTTTCTGGATAAGACTCAACTGGAATCACATTCTTGAATTTTTACATCCTACAGTGAACTTGACCACATCTTACAGATGGATTTTTTTGGCTTGATTTTTCTGAGACGGGTTTCTCTGGGTAGCTTTGTAGACCAGGCTGTTCCCGAACTCACAAGAGATCTGCTTGCCTCTGCCTCCCAAGTGCTGGGATTAAAAGTGCGCACCACACCACCTTGTTTAATTATCAGATTTCCAATACCAGCCTGATTAAGGTCTTTATTTGTATATTCATCCACGTATAGGATTAAATAGGTAAAGTCCTATTCCATCTTATATTAATTTCCTTTTTACTTTACATATGACAAGCCTCACATAATTTCAGATACTCTAGGTACTTCATGACTGTTATTTAAAATTATTGTATACATGTAAATTACATTAAATTCAAATCTATAAATTTATTATACAGAAAAAAACGCCTAGTCCAACATTGGATACAGGAATCATCAGTAACTACTGGGTTAATTAGGAACTTTATACATAAATTATAATAATTTCTTCACAGTTTTCTAAATCAAGTATAGAACTCTGAAGAATAACATAGACCAAGTATTAAAATTAGAAATATCCACTATAGTGAGTGCAGTAAGGATACAGAAATACGAGTTCTGTATGATCTCTATTTTGGAATCTAGTGACAACACAGAAGGTGAGAGCAGAATTGTTGCCAGAGACAAGGAGAGAGAGCAGGAGTGAGACAGTGAAAATTGAATGGGTAGTCAGCTACACCGAGCAGCAGTGAGTTCAGGAGGTCAATGCAGGTAATAGTTACATCATATAAAGTTCTGAAGCTAAAGTATTTTGAAGGTTTGCACAACATAAAATGAGAATAGTTTTGGGAGGTAAATGTGCTTAATCTGACAAACTTTTTCTTATGCATACATGTATTGAAACATAAAATGGCATCCAACTTGTCTGCAGTATTTGATGAATGAGTTTGATGTGTGCATGAGTGTGTATAAGAGTATGCTCATGTAGAAATTATGAGGACACCTACATTATTGCTTTCAAACAAGTCTCTTTGTAAGTCTGGTCAGCAATCCCCAGTGATCACTGTGTCTCCACCTGCTCGCCTCCACAGAACTGGGGTTGCAGATGTCATAGCCAACGTGCAGTTTTTGCTTGCTTACTAGAGATACAATTTGGTTCCTTGCTAAAGCCTTCTGATGACACTTTCCATTGGTCTTTTATTTCATGAAGATTTTTATTTTAAAGATTACATGTCTTCCTCTTTGGAGGATTTTCCCTATAAGTCCTGATGCTGTCTTGTCTTTTCAGGGGTCCTCTGACTGGCCAATTTTGCAAGGTTATCTTTTTTATATAATAACTTTTCTTATTTAATTTTTGCACATATTACTCCCTGTCCTTCTTCCCAACCTCCCCAATCCCCCCAACCTGCCACTCCATTCCAAGTCTTCTCCCTAGGGAGGGTAAAGCCTTCCATTGGGGGTTTTCAAAGACTGTCATATCATCCCAGGCAGGCCCTAGGCTCTCCCTATGTGTCCAGGCTAAGAGAGCATCCCTCCATGTGGAATGGGATCCCAAAGTCCATTAGTATGTCAGAAATAAATGCTGATCCAAGGGATCCAAGGTCCCATATATTGCTGAGGCCTCCTCTCTGACACCCAGATTCAGTGGGGTCTGTATCAGTCCTATGATGGCCTCTCAGTCATCAGTCTGTGGTCCATGCATTCCCCCTTGTTTAGGTTGCAGCCTCTGTCGGTTTCACCAGCCGGGTCTTGATTCCTTTGGTATTCTCTCCTTTTTGCAACTGCATTCTAGGAGTTAAGTTCGATTTTTAGCTGTGGGTGTCAGCCTCTGCTACCGTCAGCAACTAAATGAGGATTCTAGGATGGCATATAAGGAAGTCATCAATCTCATTATCATGGGAGGGCATTTAGGATTGCCTGAATGTCACTTGGTGTAATTTTTGTAGATCTCTGAAAATATCACTAGTGCCAGATCTCTCCTTGAACCTATAATGGCTCCCTCTATTATGGTATCTCTCATCCTTCTTTCCTCTCCTCTCTTACTGCTCTCCTGTGTTCTCCACTCCCCTCCTCTTCTTCCCCTCTCTTTCTCCCATCTCCATCTCTCCTCCCCTCCCCACTGATCCCAATCCAATTAGGAGATCTCCTCCAATAACCTTCTCTGGTTTGACATGAATATCTCTCTCAGCGTCCTCCCTGCTTCCAGACTCTATGGCGGTGGGATTGTAGGCTCCAATGCTCCATGTCTAAAATCCATATATGAGTGAGTTTGTCTTTTTGTGACTGGGTTACTTCACCCAGGATGGTCTCTTCTAGTTCCATCCTTTGCCTGTGAATTTCAAATTACCAGTTTTTTTTTCTGCTGAGTAGTAGTCGATTGTGTAAATGTACCACATTTTCTCTATCCACTCTTCAGTTGAGGGGCATCTAGGTTGCTTCTAGGTTTTGGCTATTACAAATAATGCTTCTATGAACATAGTTGAGCAGATGTCCATATTATATGAATGTGCATCTTTTGGGTGTATGCTGGGTCTTGTGGTAGCCTGATTTCCATTTTCTTGAGGAATCTCCATATCGATTTCCAAAGCGACTGTACAAGTT